ATGTACAAAAGTATTTATAACCGTGACGGTCGATACCACCACGGGTGTAGCGAAAAATATTTTGCATCAATTTATCCGAACAAATAAAAGCATACGATGGCGGGGAGGAGCCGGGAACATGATACACAACGAAGGGAAAATATATTATATTATATATGTAAACGTTTGTTTGTTAATACAACGAAATTGTCAAAATGTCACTAAAAGGAAATCGCGTGTCAACTCAAACAATACTTGCATCGATCCTTATCATATACACGAATGTACATTAAACATTATCAATATTCTCATTATGGGTGTGTATATAGACAGTAGTTTGAAAACATTTTCGTTCCCAGGAATTTCAGAAATATACGCCTTCACGAGCCCCGCCACTGATATAGGTATAATTCTCACACGCATACCTATATGTAGTGAACGAAAACGTTGCGGTTAAAAAAAAAAAAAATGGCACTGTTCCAGTTGACGTGATCACCAGTGAACTGTACCTCATAACCCCTTGCATTGCTTACATCGCGATCGCATTTCGGAAAAAAAAAAATAGAGATTACCCATTGACAGCTTGCACTCTTCGCGCCCCTCGTCTGCGGTATGCTCGGGCACGCGCTAAGTCCACGCAACGACAATTCTCACTCTCAAATCTCAAATCTCTCTCTGATCGTCAGCTGCAGCCCGTCCGCACACCCGCCCCGATAATATTATAAGATGGGATTTTCCAATAAACAGTTTGTGAATCAACGCATTTGATTTTCATCGTTTGGTATGTATTGGGAGATATATCATGTATATATCGGGAGATAAAGTAAAGTAAAATCCACAAACAAATTATGCAGATACTTAGCACGTGACAAAAATATATATTGTGGATAAAACTCATAATATGAAATTTATGAATATCAAACGATAGACATACAATTTTTTTTAAATAATATAATCACTGTTCGCCTATTTAATTTGGATTTCTCATTTCCTGTAAATACTACTTTATTTAGAAAATCGATCTCAACTATAAATCAACCAGATATGAAAATATTATGAGTACTGTGGGGTACATATTATTTATACTGTTTAAATCATATCAGTAATTAACATATTATTAATATTGTTGTACATAACTACATAAGACTAATATAATATGTGCAATATGCATAAATATTTGTATATGCTATTAATATATGGTTGTATTAGTCATGAGTACGTTTGAATTATTCTTGGAATGTTTTATTGAATCAAATTTTATTTTTTCATTGGAACGAAAATCATCTAATAAAATAAATAATAAAGTAAATAAAAAAATTATACAAAATATTATTTTTCCAAACCAATTTATAGTTCGATCAAGACGTGTTTATTCAATTAGTAATAAAGCAATTTAAACAAACCAAGTTAACTTGAAAACATGCATTTTCTAATCAGTCAATAATTTAAAATGAATTAATAAATTACAATACGTGCAATCTTTACTGACAATGTCGTTACGTATACTTTTTCACATCAAAATAACCCTTCAATACATATATTATATAGTTAATATTAGATATAATAGATGGCATATTGGTAAACTTAACAATAAACAATATTAATTTTTAATGGTTATAAACTTAATAATTTCAAACCTATAAAGTTAAAAAACGAAATTCAGCGTCGAACTCATTAATACACGCTAATCAAAATTACACTGTTCGTCTTTCTCCCATTAAAATATGTAAATAGAATGGAGTATATCCGGGACTCGATTTATTGCTTTACATTTTTTAGATGGGCCTCTGTTTACCGATAGGCACGTTTCATTATTTTAAAACTAACCAAACAGTACTAAATTAATCAAACCTCGCCCAGACACGGAGGATAGTCCATTACCCAACGTATATATTTCATGAACCTAGGTAGACGAAGCCAAAAATAATTTAATATTGATTACAGATCTTGATACATCTTAACGGATCAATATCAAATAACTTAATCCGAATTTTCTTGATAGACCATGGCCTGGTGCCCGGCATCAATAAAGCTCTAGTTCCGGTGATACCTATAAACACGTCACATATCCTAAGTGATGTGTGTGCTAACGATAGGCGCACCGAGAAAATTCTGTCGGTCTATAGGCTACCCTAACGGAATGAAAAGCCAAACGGCTCTCCTCGAGACGCACATAATTGTTATAAATCGTAATATCTACTCATATTTATGATAAACCTTAAATAGTGTAATACTTTAAAGCGCCCACCCGGGACAACCGTGTGTGAGTACGTGCAGTAAATACACACTACCACAACAATACATACTACCATATTGCGCAGTACACACATTGTACAAATTATTTTAATATGAAACGTCATATTATATTAATTTATCCTTCGTAGGCACTGCACCGCACACCTGTTAAAGGTGACTGAAAGTCAAAATTACAATACATATTCTCACGGTTTGTTTTTACACGGCGGCGTGTACAATAGATCTTCATAATATCGAACACAATGCGCCATAACAATCAATCCAATAACCTAATCCAGATTTCCTTTTATAAACCATAGCCCTAGTAGGGCTCTGGTACTCACACTACGCGTGTACATCATAATAATATGTATTATAATATACACGGTGATATGGGTATCGATGCACCGGTGAGAAAATGTTGTCAGTTTATAGGCGTGGTTGACGGCATGAAAGGCCAGACGACAGGAGCCACTTCACCAGACGTACACAATTTATTGTTATAAATCGTAATACCTACTTACCTTTATTGTAAACGCATAATAGTGCAGTAATATTATATTATACTCGCGGTGTCCGGTGCGGCACAAAAGCGTCGACCCGGGACAACCGTCCGCAAGTGTGCTGTACAGGTACAAACGACCACAACAATGCATATTACATTGTACACAGTGTACAAATTATATAACACGTAATATTTTATTAATTTACCCTTTGAAGGCACGCCGCACACCTATTATGGGTGACTGGAAGTCAAATTTCCACAATTCATATTATTGAATGGGTAGTTTGTTTTTACGCGGCGACGTGTAACCAATATCCATACATTGATATTGTCATAAAACATTATTGCTCATTATTACCCGATGGCCGATATTACTATGCGCTTGCGCGAAGGCGCCCGCAGGTATATAAACCTAATGAGGGGGAGGGGGGAGTCAAAAACTTGTTACTATTTTAAACAATAATATTAAATAAAATATTATGGTGTGTCCTTGATACTAAGTATATACACCGGGCCAACGAAATGAAAACGTGTAGGTTGTCACTCACTGATTCGGAGAGGAATCAAAAAAAAATGCATGATGCACTTATACTTTTAAACAGCAGTCAGTACAAGTTTTATCGGTTATAGTTATAACTTATGAGTTATAGTTAATAACCAAACGACAGAATAATGCACATCGAACAGAATCGAATTTAATTATTAATACCGGTCAATATTTTGACAGTTGTTCCGAAACGTATTCGAGTGTACATTTTCAAAGCATGTGCTTCTAATCTACGGTTGAAACTTCTGTTACTTACCATTAACCGTGTACCACGTACCACCGGATGGCGCTGTTGATGTGTGAAAATGATGCTTAATGAAATGATTCACATTTAAAATATCGATTACCAACTATTGTAACTCGAGACCACAGATCATATCCCAATTTGTTATTTTTTTTGGATTTCGTATTTTCACTACTTCTATTTACCTGATGAAGAAATTCTTAATTTCTTGAGTTTTAAAATCAATCTTAAGGGGAAGACAATTAGTGTCGACCTTTTAAAAAGTGTGACGATTGATCTCTAGCTTACTTCTGCAGAAGAATATTGTTTAATATGTTTTTAAATTTCGTTTCGTATCCTACAGTGCGTATCGGTACGACGAGCAAAATATAGCTAAGTTTCTAGACAAAAACACTTTCCGTATCGAAACACTTCGTTTTGTGCGTGAAAAATACATTTGTGTTCTTAGGTTTGTAACACGCTTCAACTTCTAGCCGACAAATAAATTCAACTCGAATGACCGCGCGCGATTTGCACCCAGCACAAAGGAATAAACACTATTATTGACATAATATTATTGTACCCGAAAATATTATGATTTCGGCACCAGTTGTATTTTTCCATTCTCCGAGTTTTTCTCCCGCAAGAAATCCGTTTCTACCATAGTCTAATGAGCAGTAGGGATACGGATTATGTCGATAGGATATGACGATGACGTGTTGGACAAACAAAATTGCGCAAAATAAAGAAGAGAACAAATTATTATAAACTGTGAGCTGTACGTTTCAGGTATACATTTCTATGCACAAATTGAGCCCGGCAAAGACTATTAGTTATAAGTAACATTATGTGCATGGTAGCAAAAATGTAGTATTGTCAAGAGGAAACTACCGTCTCTGTCCTCCAAAAATGTTTTTTTGGTTCGGTTTAAATAAATGGATCAACAAAAAGTGAAAAAATATGGGTGGACTGATATATTATGTTGATAAATTTTTTTTTCGTTATTTTAATTATTTATGGAGACATAGAGTAAATAATAATAAAAACAAATTACAAACGCACCTACACCAAATATATTTAAAAGTAAATGTACAAAGGTGTTTAAAATTTATATCGATAAATTCAGGGTCGTTAAAATACTGTTGGTGCAATTTACTACCTATCTATACTATTTTTACTACCTGTTAACCTGTGGGCGCAATTTACAATCACCCGGTGTTTTTGGTTGGGTTGTAGAGCTGCGTTGTTGATATCAATAAAAAAGAAAAATCCTTAGATATGAGCTAATACATAGTATAGGTACCTGGCACATAGTATAGATATACTAAACGAAAAATAAGTAACACTGCGCAGTTTGGTTTCTTCAATGGCGGTCAAGTTTATAAATATCGAAAAAAAATATTCAGCGGAATATTATATTGACGTTATTATTACACACTTAAATATATATTTTTGTATTTTTGTCACAATATTCGAGTATTAATGTGAACTTTGATTTTTGTCATTTTCAGATAACGCTGAAAACCGAGTGTGTCATCTTTGTCGTCTTCACTTGTCTTTACTGCAGGTAAAAATACACTTTAATCTATAAACTAGCTACCTATATACGTATAATATAATATGTGTCTGTGTGTGTACATTCGGTATTGTACTTTTATTACAATATATTACAATACGTCAATACATTATTATCATGTTCTTATTGTGCCTTGGTCTACCGGACACCACACGGCACCGTGTTTGTATGTTATTATTGTGTCTGCCGACAACCGAAACAAATTGAAATCCCTCAGTTCTGTATTTACTATACAGTATACTGTTACAGTGTTACTGCTTCCGTTGGTAGTGCTGTCGGTAGTATATAATTTGTAGTTTGTACCAAAATAAAAATCGGACAGGTATAATGTATAAATAAAATAATATATCAATCCATATTTACTTGTTTAATCTGCCTCTCTAAAGAACGCGTGTGGTCACGACAGCTGGAACGGATGCAAGTTTTTTGTGCATGAGTACACGGCACACCAGTGGCGCCAAAATTTAGCAGACCAATTTTTTTTCTATATAGTAAATGCCTTTACTTATTATTTGGTTAAACATGTGGTTAAAGGGTTATATTGACATGTATGTCTTTTGACTGTGGGGTCATTCTGAAAATGTGTGTGGGACTCCGGGAATGTTACCACTATTACGTCATGGTTACCATGGTAACCGTAAAAGTATAATTATAAATTGGCCATTGCACCGTTATCGGTATCGAGGTGGTGTGTGATCAAAATCTAACTATAAGTGTTGAATGATTTGTGTTGAACGCGTCAGTTTATTCAGTAGCATCCCATCTTTGGTCTTTTTTAAATAAAAAATGTTCATGAATTAATAAATTATTGGAAAGTTACAAATAGATTTGTCTTAAGCATAACACATATAATGTTTATGCGATAACGTAAATATTAAATGATTATTGATTATGATAATATCGGTGAATGCATAATAATAATATCAATATTTTATTTCTAATATTATATCTGTTAGGTTAGGTTAATATTCAGGCAACAACGACGGTCATTAGCCTACTTTTAAATAAGATATATGTTTATATGTAAAACAAAATAACATCGTTTACAATTTTTGACTTGAGTTCATACTAAATAGAAAAATAAATATATTATTGCTTCCGTGTTTCTTTGTTAAGTGCGTATTGGAGTGAGACTGGGTTAATAAAGATTTTTCTTGTTTCTGTGTATTTTGGGCATTAGGAGGTCACATTGTGATTGATCGTAAGGTTTTCCTTGCATGTGTCACATGTCGGAGCTGGTTCTTTGCGGAGAAGAGGAATACGAGCTGGTTAAATGCATGTGCTCTATATTCTGACTCGGGTTATTATTATTACATTCATATGTTTTTTTTTTCAATAATGAGAAGTATCCATTTTTTTAATGGAAGAGCTTATTTTTTTAAATTTGTTTGTAAGTTTTGCTTCAATCAAATATTTCATCTTAGCTTCTTTTGTTTTCTGAATACTGGTATTGAGTGTTCCTAGCTCTGAGAATGTTATCTTATTTCTATGAAATGTTGGTGGCTTCGTTTGCGAGGAAGTTACATCAACAACCTAAATATATAATTAATGCATATACATTACCTCCGTGCATAACAATTTATTATTATAGCACCAATATATTTTAGAGGCCATCGGTGCGTTTGAACACCGTATGTCACGCAAATACACAAGATTCACTTGTTAGTGGGTAGCTATATTTTAATGAAGTAGTCAGATGTGCAAGACACTGTGTGTCATCGATTTTAATGCATTTGGTTAGTTAAGATTATGTTTCACACATTTTGGTCGCTATTGTTTTTTACTTTGGGTCAATCTGGGTGCTAAAACCAATAAAGTGCATGTCCACTCGAGCTCTTGGAGCGCTTATTACCTCGAAGGATCTCAAGAAATTACGATCATATTATTGTTATTATAATATCGCCGGGTGACCGACTAGAGAACGTCCCTAAATTATAAATACATTCGCATGTTCTATAATCATCATCACGATGCATCATCGTTATTATTATTATTATTATTATTACACATCTTTGCGATTACCCAATAATAGTATTATTCTATTATATTATACACTGCGAAAACGAGAGTGCAAATGGTTAATATATAATGAGATCTCCATGCAGACACGCACGTGATGCAGGCATATACATGTCGTAGGTAGGTATATTATGATGCATGTACATATAATAATACTTTTATAGTTTGTACACATGATGTATTACATTATGAAAACCACGAGGTTTCGCGAACGGTAAAATAGGTTTGCAACACACAAAGAATATTATACTGTCGTATGTCTGCGGGATAAAAGGTTCGCGAACGACCGGATAAACACTGCGTGAGCGTCTCGGAAAAATCAAAATATTCGAGGAAATGCACACTTTATCCCCGACGCAGAGCAGAGACAGAGATATCCGGACGATTATACTGTACACATATAGGTGTATACCATACGTATATTATATATTATTATATATAGGAAAAAAAATGGAGGAAGTCTCCGTGTGCTGCTGTTACATTATATTTATTTTATTTTTTTGCTCCCCCGCGGATAAATCAAATAATATATATATATATATATATACACTACGTGTGTCTGCATTGTATCTTATACTACAAGACGTTATTCTTTTCCCCCGTCATAAACGTTGAAAATATTTACCATCGTGCCGTAAACTTATATATATATATATCCAATATTCCGTTGTGAATACGCGTGTTTCTTCGTCCAAACATAATAATTAATAATATTATTGTTTCATTACTGATCAAGGTATAGGTAATGTACTTATTGAAGCGCACGGCATCAGTCGACGAGTTGGGATTTTTCCATCTCCGTATCCTACGGGAATCGAAAGTTTTTTTTCCATTATTATTAAACCGCATGTCGTGTTCCATTAGTTTGGTTGATAATTGGAAAACAATTAAATTATCCTACACCATATGGTAGCTATTGTTATAATATGCGGTGTCCAGTTTTCGATGGGTAATTCCATATTACATATATTAAACTTACCTTGGAAGTAATAATTTTTTTATTCCCGGCCAACAGACTTTTATTTAATCTACGCAATTATTGTCGTGTTCAAGTTTTCGGGTGGGCTATGAAATTATATTCTGATATCGGAAATTGATTTATAGACTGTAACCAGCTGCAATATAGCTGAGGGGAAAATAAATTATGTTCGGTAATTTTATATTGTTACCAAAAATATGTTTAACCTAAATATGTATTACAAGGAGTGAGTGAGTGAGCAAGAGATAGAGAGTGAGAGAGAGAGAGAGAGAGAGAGGGAGAGGGAATGATAGAGTTGGCGAGTATATTATTACATTATTGTTTATTATCATTGTTGTACAACCAAACGAAAATATTGTCGACAAAGTTTATTATTATTTTTATTTAATTTATATTGGAGATACGAAGAAACTATATTAGATTCTATCCCTGCGCTCGCAAACATAGTTTTCATTTGAAATTATTACAGAAGGATATTTCTCCTTTTCCCCTCCCCTGACCCCCATGAATTTTGCAACTTACAGATTTCTATAAAACAACTTAAACTAATTATTTAAGATCGGAGTACCGTGAAATCTTTTATTCAGTTTACTCGACCCGAGTGTATATATATATCGTATTTAATATTATTTATACGGTTGTATACACTCACATCAGACGACTGTGTAATGAGCGTTTAATATTTCAGTGTATAAATAAAGCTAGTCTACTCTTGTATTATGCTCACCCATTGAATAAGTATGAAAAATTTTATTTTTAATCAGTGACTTGCTGTTCAACGATATGGTACGAAAACTATTAATCATATAAGTAATGTTATTTGCACACGCAAAATGGTATTTTGTTTTTTCCGTTGTTATAATACGTGTAGGACCTACACTGTAGGTTTATAATATAATTATTATTATTACATCATAACATAACATTATTATTATTATTCTTATTCGACACAAGACGTTTTCGATATTTTCTCCGTTCAAGATGTGCAAGAGACACTCGATTTGAGGAGGCTCAGCAACCAATTTCATGCATGAAATGAATAAACATCAGTTGGTCCTTAAATTCCAAAAATGTCATTATTCGGGTCCTAGCGCTTCACACAATCGGCTTTATTCATCGAGCAGTGATAAACTAGAAATGTTTAATTTTTTATTTAATTTTACTATCCATATTATATTATGTAAGATTGGGTTAGGTTAGATTAGCACAAGTGTATTGTGGTTAATGGCAACACATTTCCGCGGTAGACATTTTTTCTGGTATATATTATGCTATAAATATATTTTTATTCAAATAACAGTATAATGTAAAATAAAAATATTAAATGCATATTAAAATAACATCATGATCGTGGTCGTGTTTTATGTAAATCCCTATCAAGCTTTCGTTTCACGCATAATTATAATTGGATTCAAAAGATGCTGAAAAAAAAACGAAACGTGCCAAAGTTGTATTATATACGCTCCAGTCATTAAAATACCGCGTTAGTTTCAATTATTTAATTGGGTGTATATTATGTGTGTGTAACGAGACAGTTTGGGGTGTGCCTCAAAATGGGGCGGAGATCGGTGGCGGTGTAGCGGAAGAAAAAAAATGCAGCCCTCTAAACAAACGCCTCGAAAATCGTTTATGCATAATATTATACAAGTTAGTGGAGTATAGTTATATTGTATTTTATGACATTGTTCAGTGTAATTTAAACTAACGTCAAAACGAAGCCTAGGAGTCCTATAGAAACCTTCATAGTCGATATTTTCACAATTTAAATGTTTGCCTTTAGGTGGTCGATATTGTTTCTAAAAAGTTACAGTTAAAATTATTACTGGATTTCGTCGATACTGGTATTAAAAGTGCTAAATTGATATCCAAAATTCAAACAAATTAAACCAAAGTATATTGAACTAAAGCCAAATACATTTTATTATACAAACTACACAATTCACCAAAACATCGGAATATAATGCCGAAGACCAGCTGTTTTTATTTCAGTACA